AGTAGTGTTAAAGCCAGTTAGCCCTGGCTACTCCTGCTGCACTCGGGATGTGCGTTTGTGATGATTCCTTTGGCAGTACAGACATCCCAAGGGATCTCCATCCCCCCCTCTGCAGATCATTTCCTTGCTGCGCTTCAGAAGCTGCAGTTTCTGCTCTGAACCACCGTTTGCTTCGGAAAACTACACTCCACAGGTCAGTGCTCAGCTGACAGCTGTGCTAGCACACTTTAAGGTGACAGTGAAACCAGGACTGGTGCAAAGCACCATGGAAAAGGGTAGCCAGAACGCTCCCACCCCCTTCCCCAACTCCAGTTACCAATTTTCAGCCTCTCTTGCCAACATTAGCACTAACGAATGATGCCCACATAAAAGAACTGACTCAGGCAACACCCATCCTACCACACTTTCTCCAGAAAAGAAACATTCTGTGACCATGGAGATCACAGAATCATTAAGGTTAGAAAACACCTCTTAGGTCATCAAACACCATCACATAGCACCATGGTTTACCTGTAAACCCCATCACCAAATGCCATATCCACCCGCCTTTTAAACACTTCAGAGGTGGAGATTCCACCGCTTCCCCGGGCAGCCTATTCCAACCCAAGTATGACTAAGGGAAGGCAGTACAAGGGTGAGAGGAAGTATCAAGACCACTTGCTTTGCAGCATCCCACACTTTAGTGAAGCAACAGTGAAAATAACCTGAGGGTGAACCACCACAACAGTCTAAACTAGTTTAAACTGTGCTTTTCTAGTACATAATCTCAAGCTTCTCTGCCACCTTAGTGACCTGAATCAGTCTAATACTGTCCATTAGCTGAGAGCAGGATGGATAACTTCTGGAAGAGCCAGCTTCAAGAAACCTGAAATGCCATGGAGTCCAAGAGCATGCCAAGCATTAATAAGGGAGGATTTGTGTCAGGGAAGCTTCTCTTCATCTTGAGTTTATATAAATCACATGAAATACCAGTAACTTTAGTTTCACAGATCTGAGCACGCTTTTAGGTGAAGAGGCAAGTAGGGGAGCTGTACTGCTTTTACAGCCTGACATATTTTAGCACAGGGCATGTTCCAGCAATTGAACTATAACTACCTAAAAATGAGTTTCAATAGATACAGGTAAGAGACCAAGAAGCACTTCAGAATTGTCTGTATCACCATCTCTCCAACAGCCTGCTCTTACTACAGATGTATAAGCACTGATAAATGCCAACCTTTAAATTAGGTTCTGGTGAATACAAAGCTGGTGGCCAGCTCACATACAGCAACCTCCTTGCAGATCAGTCTCTAGTTGATGTCTGATATTTTCACAGCTAAAGGCTCTGCGTCCTCTCACTACTCTGCAGTGCAGATCACGTTCACTTTTGAGCACCTGAGGCCAGATCCCAGCCTTCAGGCAGTCACTGCTGAACTACACTTGGCAACTTACAGAACTACAGCTTTGAGCAGCCCTGTCCTCTCCTCTGACAGAGACAGCCATCCACAGAAGCAGCCACATACAGGCTTTTTAGAGTGCAGTCAGTTATACAGCTGAAGGAGTACAACAGTCTGCTGGCCTTGAAAGCGCCTGTGTTGTTCCCCAGCTCTTCAAGGCTCCATTCTTGGTGCTGGCTCTGGCGCTCAGCTCACAGTACAAAATGCTAGTTCAACTTGCACACCCAGTGTTCCAGGTAATAAACTGAGCTGGCCCTTGGTACAGCTGGACAGGTGCCAAAGCTGGTGCATGGAAGGGAACAGAACAACTTCTTTAAGCACCTGGGAACCAGCAGGATATTGAGCAACTGTACGTTCCATAACGGCATTCATCGCTTAGCCAAACAGTTTGGATCAAAACATGGATTTCAATTTAAAGCTCTGGTAGCCAGGAGGGCAATAAGCTCTTAGAACACTTGGCACAAGCCAGAGATCATGGGAGGAAAAATTTAGAGTGCTCAGAAGGAAGATGTTCCTGCTACATACTAAGAAAATACTATATATTCACGTAGTCAAGTCCCCAGAGACTATAACTTACAAATGCATTGCTCATTCAAGGGCTCACAAAGGCCTCCTCAACGAAAAGTGAAATGCTGATGGTTTGATTTCAAGGTTTTGTTTGCTCCTTTTTAGTTTGAATCTGTTCTAGTAAACCATACAATAAATAAATTCAGATATGAAATAAAGTTTAGAAAACTGCCATAATTTGTTCAGCTGCCAAAGGTAGTAGAAGACTTACTTGAACAAAACCAACATTCATTAACAAAAGATGTCATCACACAGAAATTCCAGTAACTAAGCTTTTATACCATACCAACTATTATACCTGTGAAATGAAAAGCAAACAAGGACTGGAAAACTCAGCATTTTAGCTAAGAGCTAATGAAAGACTGAATTGGTCAGATGACACCAAAAACAGAGGAGAAGAAAGTCACCTGATACATGCCAGCATGTGGCTTTAACGCACATTTTAGTGTATTCTGGACAAGAACTGTTAATGCCATGCACCTGCAAAACTAATTACTATGTACATGCGGGTTTGGGGTTTTTTTTTGCTTTAAAACTTTTTCAAATAACCTCAGAGAACTGCAACAGTCAGAAGAGGGAAAGGTGACAAGCATTACCAGAGCAGAGTTTTCACAACTGGCAAAAAACTCTTATACAGAATAGCTAGTACCACCTGAGCAGTAACGGTGAAACTATTACTAAATATTTCTTGTGCAAATGATTAGCATAAGTTTTTACGTTATCAAAAGAACCCCAGAAGGCAGTACCAGCTGGGAATCAAGTAGTACCAGTCAAAGCCATATGTGAAATTTCACCATGCTGTTCACAGGGAAGACAAAACCTGATAACAAAGCATTTCAGGGGTCTCTAACACAGCTCTGTATCTATGAACTAGGAAAGGCAGCATGGCAGTAAGAGCCTGATCTCAGAGTCACCCTGCACACAGAACTGTGTTCAGCTGATAACCAGGATGTGTTGGACATGGGGAGGGTCACAGAAACCAAACCTGGGCATCTGGGCAGAGCAACCGCAATGGAACATCTCTGTGATATGCTTCAAAATCTACTAACACATAGAATCACAGAATCCATCAGGTCCGAAAAGACCTCCGAGATCATCGAGTCCAAGCTATGACCCAACACCACTATATCAACTTGACCATGGCACTGGTGCCACATCCAGTCTTTCCTTGAACACTTTCAGAGACAGTGACTCCAACACCTCTCTGGGCAGCCCATTCTAGTGTCAAATCACCCTTTCTGCGAAGAAATTCCTCCTAATATCCTACCTAAACCTCCCTCAGCCTCAGCACAGCTTAAAACTGTCGTTTTCCCCTGTCGCTTGTTGCCTGGGAGAAGAGACCGATCCCCACCTCTCTATAACTTCCACTCAGGCAGCCGTAGAGAATGGTAAGGCTCTCCCTGAGCCTCCTTTGCTCCAGGCTGAACACCCCCAGCTCCCTCAGCCGCTCCCCATAGGACGTTCTCCAGACCCTTCCCCAGCCCCAACGCCCTTCTCCCTGCGGTCTGGGCCTCCTGGTTAAAAGATCCCAAACACGACCCAGCCCACCCAAAAGCGAGCAGAGGCACGTCACGGGTGGGACCAGCGGGCAGGGGCCACCCCGCGGCTCCCACACTGCCCGGGGCCAGGGGCGTTAAAGTAGCCCCGGCCGCCCGAGGGCGCTTCCCACAGGGAATCCTGCCCCCCCCAGCGCAGCCGGGCCGGCCCGGCCGGAGGCGGCGCCCAGGGGTGACCCCGGCCCGTCGCGGCGCTGACCTTGGCGGAGGTCGGGGTCCTGCAACACGTCGTGGGCGCGGTAATCCTCCACGCCGTGCAGCCGCAGGATCTGCACCACGGCGTTGCTGAACCCGCACAGCGGCTGCGCCGGGCTGCCCTTCATGAACACCACCACTGGGTGCTCCCGCACCAGCCGCTCCACCGCCTCCCGCGACCCTGACCCCGAGCCGCCGCCGCCACCCTGGGCCCCGCCGCCCTCCCCGGCCGCCTGGCTGAGAGGGCGCCCGGCCCGGCCCCGCAGAGCGGCGGCGGCCCCGAGCCGCCAGCCCACTCGCACCGCCGCACTCATCGCCGCTCCGCCCGCACCGCCCGCACCGCGGCGGGACACCGACCGGCCTCCGCCGAGCACCTCTTCGGATTGGCCTAAGGAGCCGCCAATCAGCGCCGACAGCCAATAGCGTGAGGACACAGCGAAACTCTGCCCGCCCCATAGCCCCGCGGCGGCTTCGCCCTCCTAGCGGAGGGGCCCGAGCTGCTGCGACCGCACTGGGGGAGAGAGCTGTCAATCTAGTGCGGGTCTGTTGATCCCGCCCTTTCAGCGGACACGATTGGTCAGCTGCTCCGGGGGCGGGGCTTTTATGGGGAAATCCGGGAGGAGCGCGTGATCGGCGTGAGGTTGTTTCCGTTTCCGGGTGGCGTTGCCCTTTGTGGTGTCGGGGATGGAGGGGCCGCTGGGCCCTCCATGCGGAGGGTGTGCATCCCTTCTCTCCGCCGGGGCACAGAGGGGCCGCCCTTCCCTTCTCAGGCCTTCCGTGCCCTGCGCGGGGGACGGGGAGGCCTTGTCGGGCGCGCCGGGGTCCTGCGGGGGTCCCTGCTCTGGGTTTGGGGCCTGTCTTGCCGGCCCTTTGTCGGTGCAGGGCGTGGTAGAGCTCCCTGGGGTCGGGGGTGCATTGGACCCTGTGCGAGGCTGCAGCGGTGCGAACTTTCAGCTGGCCCCTGCTGTCCCCTCGGGCAGCGGAGGCTTTAAGTGGGCAGCTGGCACAGTGCTGGCTGGCCCTGCCTCCCTGCTGGCTTTGGCCGTGCCCAGGGGCCGATCGGACCGCGTTCAGTTGCCCCGTTTTGGTTGATTTGTTTTTTTTTTTTTTGGATGGGGTGAAGCGGGCGATTTGTTATCCCTGAGGAAGAAGCCGTTCGTTGCACGCTCGGCTTTAGTGCGGGTAGAGGAGACCCGAGCAGCTTTGCACAGCCCGGTGTGTCCCCGGGGTAGCTGGCAAGGAGTGGCAGCAGGATGGAGAGGTGGGAGCGAGGTTGGGCTGGGTGGCTGCTCGTGCGAGAGGGTAGTTTAGTCGGTGCTGGAACGCGGGCAGAACTGCCCAGCATTAGTCAGGGAAGTGCTGGATTTGGAGCGTGTCCTGAAGACGGTGTGTGCGGCCAGCTGTGCCTGAGCTCCTGGGTAGATCCCGTATTCTTTCCAAGAACCTGGTGCAGAGCATGGAGGTCTCCTAAAGCAACAGGGCCCATCCTGTAAGTAGAAGAAAAATGCTGAAAAGTTTTCCTCTGTACTGAAATACGATCTCTCACAAATAACAAGCCAAAGTGTATTTCTGAGTATTAATTTCCATTGCAGCTGTAAAATCCAGACTTTTGGTCCGGCCGTTTGTCTTTACATGCATTTGTAAGGAATATCACTTTTTCCATCCAGTTCTGCTCCTGTGAGAGCTTTACAAACAAGATCAGCTTGTCTTCAGCATTCAGAAGACTGCTTGCATAGCTTTGTTTCTTGTGGCATCGAGATGATGTTTGAGTGACAACTTTGTTTTAATTTTTTATGAAATCACCCTCAGGCATCACTTCTGTTGCCTTTTATTTAAATTTAATTAGAACAGATTCCAAAGGGAATTGTTCCAAACTTGCACTTTGTCATCCTGTGTGAATAGCTTCTGAATAATGAAAGTGTTGCTGCAGTATTTGAAAGTAGATGTATTTATGAAGAAATACTTTATGCAATTAATCTGAAGGCCGAGTTCATGTGCTGTGTAGCTGATGAACATTGTGCATTTTGTATGTCAGTTCATTTTTGATTTCAGCAGAACATCACAAGCCAGGCTCAGTCACGTTGATAAAGACACAGAGAAGTGTTTGCTTTCTGTGGTTAATGCGTTGTGATTAACATGGTGGAGGTTGTGCAATATGGGGAAAGATGTGTCCACTTTGTGCTAGATGAAACTGCAGTAACTTATGAGGAGCATAAGTGTGCTTTTCTATTTGTTGAACTATTTCAGTATACAGAGACATAACAAGTGTTGTGTAACAGCCCAAGTGGTCTGTTTTGTCATTCTAATCAAAGACTCCTGCCAGTTTTAGATGCTGGGGAGTCAGAGTGGAATAAAATCAAAATTGATTAAAAAGAAAAATATCCTTCTATTCTTAAAGACAGCTAAATGCTTTCTTTCAACAAAATATTCAACTATGAACAGGTCTCTAGTATTTGCCTCTGAATTTTGTCCCAGCTATTTCTACAAGGGGATGGTTCATTAGAAGTAAGTGGCACAAGGGCATCAGACTCGAGTGTAACATAACCTTGTGAGGTTTTCATCTTTCCAGTACAACATGACCAACCACAGTTGTAGTTTAATCCTCTGTAGTCGAAGAGGTGCCCTTGGTTGTTGGTACCCTGGGCGCACCAGGCTTGCAGAGAGAGCACCTGTGTGAGGAAGCCGAGGCATTGCCTGTCAGAGGAGCAACAGCACCATGCGCAATATTCCTCCAACAGCTGCCATTCTGTTGCCACGGAGATAATGACTTATCCCATGTCATTATTGATCTACCAACAGGAAGAGCAATTCTGCAGTCTGATGTTGTTTGGCAAAGAAAGTAATGTCTGCTGAACACTGAAGAACTGCTATAAGTGTTAGAAAGCTGCTTAGAAGTCTGTGCTAAATAGAGGTACCTGAATTTGTAGTTACTCACTGTAGTTTTGTGAGATTGGCCTGTGAGCTAATGTTAAGCTTAACAGAATGGTTTTTAATAAAATATTTAGTATGGTCAAATGCTTTTGGATTATGCAATATGCAGCAGTCTTAGTGGATAAACAGTTTTCCCTGATGATAAGACTTAAAACAATTAGACTCTGTACACTCTAGACACAGAGATAATTATGTCACCAGGTCCTGTCTTCTATCAGTCTAAGTGAAACTTCTTGTATTTTCCAGATAATGATTTAAATCATCTGTTCAGAAGAAATATTAATGGGACTCCCATAAGACTCCTGACAGTTTGATGTTCCTGCTAGAAGACCTATTACCTCATTTTGAAAACACTAATAAAAGCACCAGTATTCAAGCTACAGGGCTTAAATGTTCACTATTAGTCCTAAGTTAATGTACTTTTAGGCATTCTGCTGCTGAACAGAATTATTAGTTATAAATTGATGGATTGATGTTCTTTCACAGTGTACAAGGAGGTGGACATTGAAAAATAATACTGTCAGCAGAAAGGTTTTTATTTTTGTTTTTAAGAAGAGGAGAGCTAAGTAAGCTGGTAAGAAAGAAAAGTCTCATTTCAGTTTATCAGAACAGGACACCTCTTCATGTTCAAGCCTGATATCTGTGTGTCACGCTGACTTGTGATAGTGACTGGAAATGAAGTCCCTTATTGTGCCCTAACAATTGAGCTCTACTTAAGCAGGGTTTTTTTGTTCCTTGAAGTTTTTTAGTAGGATGGGTTGAGATCCAGCTGTTCTGCTGGTAAATAATTTCAGCATACCATAAAGGTAACATCTGGCAGCACCAACATATCCTCCATTTTGAGAGCATTATGAATGCTTAAAATGCACGCATAATTCTGGGCTGCCTAAATTGTCAACACTGAAGACAGATCTCTGAAAAGTTCTTGGTGATTTTGAAGATGAACTAGTTTGAAAAAGTTGTGCAACAAGCAGCAGAAATGTAGAAGTGTTGTGGGGGTTTTCCTAGTGTAGAAAATCAGGTCCTTTGGGAAATTACCATAGCTGTATGTAACTTCCCTTTTGAATCTAACTTGGAGATCTATAAGCAAGTTTTTTTCTGAACTGGGTAGGTAATTATAATTACATAATATCCATGGATTTATAGCGTATTCCCAAGACAGTGTCTGTGATAGCTTTAAAATACAACAGTCCATTTCATAAAGGACAGAGGTGAAGAATAGGTACAAAATTACCTGTATCAGTTTTACTGATGGGGGATAAACATGACCTAAGGCAGTTCTGTGACATAAATCATGTAAGGATGGTTTTGGTAGAGAGGGGTAAAGGAAAAATTTCTGAGCCTCACACTCAACAAGTAAAATGCAAGATCATGTTCAGGCTTGAAGGTGGACCTTTAAAAGAGGAACTCATTAGACTTCAAGTTTGCTTCTTAATGACATTGACCTCACTTTGTTCCTCTTTTCACTCTGCTTTGTGAGTTGTGACACTGTCCTGAAGCAAGGACATGTAGTATGACCTCTGTAATAGAGGAGCAGAGTTATTCTTTGGGATAAGAAAGCTGCTTGCAGCTGTTCTGCCTGATCAAAATCTGTTAGATCCTTGTTCCTTAGTTGCAGATGGTAGTGGTGCTTGAGTCTTTCAATATTACAGAGGAAATATAATTTTATATACATCTATTTACGTGCAGAACTGAGAAATACTACCTCTAATGAGAAGGCCTCTTGCCTCTTTTAACCCAGGAAAAAATGCAAAAATCTTTCACAAGTTTGAGAAAAAGACTGGACAAACTCAAGAGAGAAAACCTGATCTGCTAAATATTAAAGATACCATTATGGTATCAAGTCCTGAGCCATAGAAGGCTGGGATTGTAACTATATGCATGCCCTCTTCTTTGCTTCCTGTGCACTCGCTTTTATCCAGTGTGGCAGGAAGTGTCTTGGGCTCTGAGTTTCCAAATGGTATATGGTAATTTGTACAAATTGTAGTTTACTTAAATTGCTAAACATGTCTCTGGCCTTTCGTAAGGGTTGGAAAACCCCTGGGCAGTCTCTGCTTGTAAGAAAGGTTCTTGTGCCCCAGTTAAGGTCTGTCGGCACACTGTGTATACCTGCAGTGACGAGGATGCTTTCCTTGGCTTGGCTTGTTTTGAGAAAGTGGGATGCAGTGGGACAAGAGCAGCTCCTATTATCGTGTCTGTCGTGACCACGAGGGGGCCCTGGCAGTTCTGGTCAGGCGACAAGTGTGCTAGAAGGGCAGGGTCAGGGCTGAGTGCTTGTTGTCTCAGTTACATCTGTTCAGCACTTCTGAATTCCATACCTCTTCTATATAATTTTTGATACAGTATTTTGATATGTAATTTTGAGAAATACATCTCATATTACAAAAACTTTCCTCAACTTTAATAAATATCACTGACCATTTCATCTCTCCATGTTTCAACAGCATGAGCTATTTCTCCAGTCAAAATTCAAGAGTTTTGCACACATCGCTATTCATAAAATAGATGGAATTGTTATGGAGAAGCTTAATAAAATTTTTTGTTATGTTTTACTGGTTTTAAACTTGGTAATACAATATTTCAATAAAGATTTTATTTCTCTCACCCCACATCCTTTAGTCTTTCGTTTTTTTTCTAGGAATATGTGTATACATTTTAACATTTTTAAGCTCTTCTAATGTTCCTTTGGAAAGGCACTGTAGTCTAACCAATGGTGTGACCAGAAATCACGAGTTGCTGTTGCTTAATCTTTATTTGACAAATCTGAAAGTCATTCTGGGAGCCTGAAAACTTTTTGTTGAAACTTTAGTTGCTAGTGTTATCAATGCAATTTAATATAAATAGGCTCTCATTATTGTAAAAATATTGAGTAATTCTTAGCTATATATTGAATGTTTGTGGAAGTGCAGAGGTGTTATTTTAAAGCAGGGATGAAGAAAAGTGAATAGCTAAAGTAAAATTAGTCATTGCAACCAATAATACTTGTAAAAAGATGTTGCTAGTCTCTTGTGTGTAAAGTGTTGTGCAGAATAAAATGACTCTCATCTGGCTTGCATCTTGTTATGTAGAAAGAAGGAATGAAGCTTCCTGGTTTTTATGCCCATTGCAGTTGTTTTGTCTAAAATTTCCCACAGGAGCTGCACAATGGTTTATCCTCTGCTAAAGAGAACTTGAATTTGGATGAGGCAGATGTAAAGTGTGTTGCCTCTGAGAAAATAGCTGCGGTGTGGACCTTGAGGGCTTGAAAGTTTATTGAGAACTGATCTTTGACAGGAAATGTGCATGGAAATCTGTCTGGCTGCGGTATGAGCTTCTGCAAAATTATTTGTATATGTATGAACTAAATTGTGGTAAAAGTATCTCAGTTGTTTGTGTTGTTGGGGGGTTTTGTTTGGTTTTTTACCCCCCGTTGTATGCAATACTATACTTTTTTTTGATTTTGCGTGGGCTGAGCTAAGAGTCTTTCCAGTAACAAAAGTTGGGGGGGGGGGATGTGCAAAGGTATGTGAGTCTGGGACTCAGGTAGAAGGGAACTGTACTTTTCATCTGATGTAGACAGCTACAGTGGTTGATCCTACAGATGAATGGGGCAGTCTTTCCAAGTGTATTCCAACCGCTGTCCCTTCAGAGCAGGGAGCTTTTCAGACCAGATGTGTAAGTATCTAGGGAATACTTGAGAATGGACAGGAGAGACAGTCGAGCTGACAAGGAGCATTGGTAAGACTGTAGCAGCTAAGTCTGATGGCATGACAGCAGAAACCATTGGAGGCAAAATTGGGAATAGAAGAGTTTGAGGTAAAAAATAAATTAAAGAAAATCTGTACCATGAAGAAAATGGATGGGGTAGGACTGAAAGAACTAAGGTTTAGTGACACATTCAAAACAGACTTTTCAAAGAGCATAGAAATGAGTCCTCAAAGCTTTTAGGGAAGAATCTAGTGGCAGTGTGTCTTGGCCTTCTGTGCCACTGGTTACCTTAGTGACCACAGAAGAAGAGCAACCAGCTTGTGATCTTACACCCACTCCCAGCACAAGTTACCAGAGTCACATTCTGATCCAAGGTGGTTTGTGCAAGGATCAATGGGAATTTGAGTTGTGAAGTTTTTTGTTAATCAACTTCTAAGGAAACAAGCACAGATGCAAGTTGTTAAATGTTTTTAGAGTTGCGACATAGGACGCTCTTGAAATGTTAGTTTTAGGCTGAACAACTTTCAAAATTGCACATCAAAACAAAGTTTTCATTGTGACATGATATCTTTTTTCCCCAGAAGCCCTATGTGTTCAGTGCATAGGCATCAATTCTCTTGGTGTGCCCTGACATTCAAACAAACAAAGCTGCTTGCAGGAGAACAGCATCAGACCTCTGATATGCATTCCTTGCATCAATTTTATTTTAATCTCTACTAAGGAAGGAAACATGGAAAATTAGAGTACAGTCCTCAACAGTGCTCACTGCTGGTGTTTGAGTGTTTGTCTTGATGCAGTTTGAAGGCTGACTAGGAAAAGTTCTTGGTTCTTGCAGCTGTAATTAGAATCAATGAAACAAAGGGTATGTGACAATGGAAGATAAAAAATACTGCAAAAATCACTGTGAAAAGTTAGGTGTCAAACTGAGTATCTGAAATGAACGGCTGCTTTGAACTTGCTGCCTGCTGACCACAGATCCTGATGTCACAGCTGTAAATCATGAGCTTCCCCCATATATTAAGGTCTCTGAAAAAGTGTCCATGAGAACAGCAGGAATATGTTTGATCACTTGGTTTTCAGGGGAGTTTTTATATGATGTGAAGAAAATTAGACTCAAAGATCTAGCAAAAACTTAAAATGGGAGAGAAGGAGTGGGTGTGTTGGCATACTTGCATTTGTAATGTGTGGACTCTGATCAAGAACAGAGTCAAAGTATCACTTGTGGGAGGTAAGAATACGATTTCCTAAAGGAGAACCCAGAAACTTGAAATTTTAGATTGCTGCACTTAAAAAAAGAACCTGGTACAACTAGAAATAACAATATAAAAATAAGGAAAGTTGAGGGGGGGTTGGTGTTATAAAATGTTTTTACTTTCCTTTTTTGAAGTATGAAAACCTGTGTCTCTTGAAAATCTGACTGTTCTAAGAACATGTGAACTGAGAGCGCACTACAAAATGGCCCATATAAATGCAGTGATTTTCCTTATTCTGACTGTGCACAGACTGTGGTTTTGTTGCTCATAACTGCATCACAGAAACATACAGTTTTGTTTGGTGTGGTTTACTAATTATGGACTTTTGGAGGGCAAGCAGTTCTTTCACAGAATAGGCAACTTCGCCACAAATACATGCATATGCACCTTTCCTAAATTTTCATTAAAATAATTGCAAGCTTTCTAATGTTTCCTG